GCTCCATCGGGACGGACCGAGGGCCGTACTGCCACTGCGTCGAATCGCAGTTCTAAAGAGAAGTTTTTCAAAATGGTTTTCTTGAACCTAACCTGAGAATTTGAACCGTCTTGGATTCATGTAAACACAGCATTCGCCTCTTTCACTTCAGTTTCTTTAACTGATTGAATTCGATTGCTAGTTTGCTCGATGCCAAGATGCGCAGATGTGGTTTGCCTCAATCAATGAACAAAATGTGAGGCTCTTGCTGCTAGAACTTGTGTGCAGTCACGAAAAATGATTAGTTCATTACTTTTAACAATTTTGCTATTTATTATAGAAGATTTTAATGCAAAATTGATTTTTTTTTCCCTCAAGTTGACAGTGCATTTAAAGAGTTGGTATTTGACCATCAAAACAGCTCTTCAAAAAACTGTTGGGTTTATGTGTTAAATTGAATTCTGATTTCCATCTTAGTAAAGCTTGATGCAAACAGGAACTGTTTTCTGATGTAATGAAAGGTGAGCACAAGGATTTCAAGTAAATGTACACGAAGCTATACATGCTCTTAAGTAAACATGGATAGATGACATCTGGCGTTGGGTTTGGTTTAGCTCTGATGGCCAAAGTATAAATATGAGGCAATGCTTGTAGGGTGATTTAGTATCTTCTGTTAAACTAAGTGATATGCTTAAGGGAAAGGAGCTTTGAAGTATCCAAACCTTCTTCTGAAGGTTCAGAAGCAAAGTGCAGGTGATTTTGTCCGAAAGCCAGCAAGTTAGCTGTCGTTCCGTTCTGTCCCTTCTTTGAGATAGGTTTTTATCTTCTTGATCTCTCTGCTTGTAGGTTTTTGGAGCTGCATTTCTTGATGTCTTCTGTCGGTATAAACCCACAAAACTATAACTGCAAAGACAGGATTCAAGCTGAATATTTCTATTAAGGATTTCTGCATGATCGTTCACAGCATGGTTTTAATTAACGCATTTCGTTTGGGCAGATGCAGCGCCCTTCGGAAAGCGGCAGCCTGGCGCAGTGACGTTGTGAATAGGTGCCGTGGTCCCGGCTCTCCAGCTAGTCCGTTGTCTCGGGTAGCTTTCTGACATCGCTGTCTTTCTCGTTGCAGTTGCTAACTCCAACACGGGCAGTGGCTCGCGCCGAGACTCCCTGACAGGGAGCAGTGACCTGTACAAGAGGACGTCCAGCAGTTTGACACCTATAGGACACAGTTTTTATAATGGCCTTGGGTTTTCCTCCTCTCCTGGACCTGTGGGAATGCCTCTGCCCAGCCAAGGCCCTGGCCACTCGCAGACTCCACCGCCTTCCTTATCTTCACATGGATCATCTTCAAGTTTAAACCTGGGTAAGAGCCGCAGTGCCGCTGTCCCAGCGCTGCAGCTTTCTGCTCTGCTCTCGGCGCAGAGGCCGGAGCACCGCGCTGCTGGGCGGGCGAGAGACCCCGCTGCGTGGGCGCTGCGCTTGCTCCTGCTGCAGGGTCCCCGCCTTTGCCGAAGGAGTAGGGGAACCACGGAAGCAGGGTCCCCGCTTTTGCAGATGGAGGTGGAACAGTGGCGCAGGAGCTGTAGCACCTACGTTACGTGTTCGTCTCTCACA